CACATGAAGCCTATGGAAGGTCAGGGCACGCCCTCAAGCGGGAACATGCAACAGCAAGGCCTGCCTCCCGCAATGGGCATGCTCGTAAAGCCTCTAGGGACCAACAACTTTGTCACAAAGCTCTACCAGTGGGTTATCTTGTCCGCTTGTTATCGTCTCGCGTATACGAGTGTCTTGAATCGCACAGGATGATCAACGATCCAAAGTCTGCGCAGTTCATCCAGTGGACGGAGCTTGGCACGAGGTGATCATCCACTGCTGTTCTTCTCCTTGTGCTTTCAGTCATATCCTCTCAGTTTCGTGGTGTCGAACGTGGGCGAATTCAGCCGTTCCATTCTGGGTTCGCATTTCAAGCACAACAACGTCAGAGCATCCTTTCTGTGTGTAGATCTGTCCGCTGACGTGCCCGCCGTGTACAGTTCTCCAGCTTCGTAAGACAGCTGAACATGTATGGCTTCCACAAGATCAATCGCGTGGGTTATGTCGTCGCTGAGGGCGCGATATAGATATTGACTTTGTTGCATAGACTCCGCGCGCGCAGCGCACATCCGCGGACGTGCAGACATGGGAGTTTTCTCACCACAAGTTCCTCCGTGGACGGCCTGACCTCCTGGAGGAGATCAAGCGCAAGGCACTCGAGCCCGATCCGTCGATCAAGCACCGTGTCGAGCTCCCGGGTGAGGTCGCAGCGCAGCTGAACCAAATGCGGGAGGACAACCGCCGGCTGGCGATGGCTTATCACACGGAGAAGAACAAAGTCGAACGACTGGCCCAGGTCACGAAGGCCATGTACGACGTTATCTCGAGGACGTGGCCGGGATCAGGTAGGCTCCGTCGCTCGCTGTGCGCGTCCTGCTCAACTAATCTGGCTCCTCCTCCGGACCCAGTACCCGTGCCGTTCCCGAACGACATCCTAGAGCCCTGCGAGAGCCCGAACATCTACATCACGTCGCCGACAAACGGCCCGCAGGCGCACTTCCAGCCGGCGCCGCTCTCGATGGGCAGCGCGTCGCTGCACTCGCTGCACTCCATCAGCCCAGGCTCGAGCCCGACCGCACCCGACTTTCCACAGCACGCGCACGCGCACACGCCGCACCTCTCGCGGCAGCACAGCTTCCAGCACATCCCGTACGAGAGCGCGGCGAGCATGGTCGGGCACGTGTCGCACGCGCGGTACGAGCCCGCGCTGTCGACGCCGCTCCCGCCGTCGCCGGGCGCGATGGAGTTCAGCGAGGACGCGGCGCGGCTCGCGGCGAAGCGGCAGCGGACGGGCGTGGGCGAGCCGGACGCGGGCGCGTCGAGAAAGGGGTCGAGGGCGAGGAGCGACTCGGCGCCGTTGGGGTATGGGTTGAGCTCGGGGTGGGCGCAGACGCGGCCGAGGAGCGGGAGTGGGCTGGGTCCGCGGGGTGGGAGGAGGGATGAGTTGCCGATTCCGAATATTGGTGCGCTGTCGAGGGGCAATACGTTGCCTGTGCTGTCGATACCCCCCATGCCGAAACAGTCCTCGAATTGAGCGCGGGGCGGCGGCGCCGGCTCCAAAATCCAGTTTGCTAGAGTGGTCCTTTGGATCTTTGTCGTGTTTCTGTGCTCTGCCTCGTCGAGCTCTCGTTGGTCGTGCTCGTGCTGCGCTTCTTGGACCCACGCATGCGGTGCTTGGTGTCGTTCTGTCGCTCGTCTGATTCACGAAAGGTCACAAAAACCGTCATGATTACGTTGTTTGCTCATGCTTCTTTGTGCATATTATCAGGTTGCTGTCGGTGTCGGTCGCTCGTTTGCTGTTTGTCACGTACCGCTTTCCTTCACTTTTGTTCGGTCACCTTGCCGCATTTGTACTTTGCCGTCCTGCAGTTACCCACCCCCCCCCACCCCCCACCCAACCCACCGACCCACCACCGTTCTGACTTCATGCCGCATTCACGTTCACGTTCGAGCTCCGTTGCGCTTTGGGCTTTCATAGCTGGTCTCGCGCGTTCTGACCGGCGGTCGTTTTTCACTTTTCACTTGCCACTTGCCTCTCATGCGTTTCGGTTCCATTCCGGTTCCATCCCGTTCATAGACGTGTATTACCATTCTACACATTGCATCCGTGAATGAAAGAACGAAGTATACCTTGGGCTCATGCATGCGGATGTGGATGTGGATCGGCGGCGATCTGATCAGTTGGGAATTTCGCCCGATGGGCTGAGCTCGATGCGTCGGTGCGTCGGTGTGAATTGGCGCCACGGCTCTGGCAGCTGGATGACTGGCGCGATCGTAGACCTGCGAGGTGATTTTCCTGCGTAGATTTCCTGTTGGAGTGCGAATAGCTCTGTCATGATCTTGGTGCTCCAGAAACCCTATAACGTTCAGAATGTAGTAGAAGCATTAGTGGACCGGTTCGTTGATGACTAGCATGCATGAAGCTTTGAAGCTTGAAATTAGTATCGCCCAATAAAGAACATTCTACGCCTCAACGCTGCGAACTCCCGCCCTAGGCCGACCAGCTATCAAAGTATCATTCACGCCCGATGCAAGCAACTGTATCGGGGTCATTCAACGTATAATCATCGCCCACCCATCAAAGCTCCGAGAATCCACCCAAGAACGATTCTCTCATCAGTCCACCAAAGAACCGGACAAGGCGTCTTTCTTCCTCGAAATGGTCGAGCGCACCGTGCGCGCGCGCGGTGATATATGATATCGGGCATGGGGCGATATGCTTCTTAGATCCTTTGATGATCCGAGGTATGATGGAAGCCGTCGTTCGGGCTGCGATGCAGGCGCAGAAGCAGAAGAGGACGGCGCCAAGAAGGTTGGCAATTGGAAGGATCGGTGCGTGCGTGCGTGAGGTAAGGCTCTGGTACGGTGCGTGCCACCGATGTCACCGCCACTTTTGCCCAAGGATTGTAACTCCGCCATAAATGATCCAATCCCTCATCCTTCCAGCAGAAATGCAAGCTTTCGGGAAGGATGTTGATCTGCCAACAGGATGTCCCAAAGCTTAGGATTGGCCCTGGTGAGGTTTTGGAAATTGGCCAGCGATGGGAACAAGCTTCCAAATACAACAATCAGTCATCATATTCAGAGGAATATGAGACCTCAATACCATCGTGGGCGGTGTCTGATGGCACCTGCACATTGGGTTCTTAGCTTTAACGCCTATTGAGACTTCATTTTCGCGGACCAGATTGACACCAGTGGCGGTAATAAGGTGACATACACCGCAGCACGATGCATGGGGAAAGAAGGGCGTTCAGCGTCAGTGACGCACACTAGACCATTGTACAGGAACAAAACCGGCGGGAGTAAGCGCGCTGTGTAGCGCGCCAATACGTTCCGCAGCAGAAGTAGTGGACATCCATGCAGCTGTCCATCACAGCTCAGAGCTCGCACAAATGCACGTTTTGCTATCTGTCACGGTCATATAGAGCAATGGATGCACTCACCTGATAGTGGACTCACAGGCATGCAACTCGATCACGGCGCGGCCGCTTCCGAAGGCTTCGCGCCAGGCAAGGTAAACATATGCTCAGAGGTAGTTAGCCTCCGTGTGGAGCGGCAACGTTCCTGTGGGGCACGCACAGAAGCGTGGAGGTCCGGAAGATAGCGACTGCGGACTGCGGTGACGGCAAGGAAGGAGAGCTTATTGTGCAGCTGGCCAGGTAGCTGTTGGTGCCAGTCAAGGACGTGTCGCAGAGTTGCAGACGTGCAATGTATCGCTCGGACGGGATGATACCTGTTGAGGTGGGAGTGAAGCGGGAGACGCTCCCGCGTGATGTGCTTCACTTCCGGAAATAGATGGCATCCTTCCATGAGCAGTGGGGCGCACAGACCACTTGACACTTTGCTTGGATGTCTCACCGGGAAAAAGCGGACCAGACATCGCGCATGTTGGGATGCAAGACGATGCGCAAACACTCTTGACTCGCATGTTTTTCTGGGATATAGAGTTATGTCAAACCCTTCCTGCCAGGCAACGGTGAGAGTACATGCCGATTGAGGCTACCATCCACCACTCAATCTTCGTGCTGTGTTCGGGCCGAGGGCGCAAATGAAGGATACTTGCTCAACAT